ATGTTTCTTAGAAAAGCACTCTTGAATGATTTTTTCAATCCTACTTTTTTTTAGATTGAGAATTGGTGGTCTGGTTTTTTTTTTTCCCCTAAGGAGCAGTAAAAGACTACTCAAAAGATACTCAGGTATTAAAAGTCTCAATTTGTCAGGTACACAGGTTAGATTATTTGCATTACAAAAACAATTATTTAAAGCAGTGGTTCCTCTGGTGCATTTAAGTATTTTAAAGATCATTAACTGCACAAAAGAGCTGAGAAGCCAATTGAAGTGCAAATCAGCATTTCCAGGGTAAAAAAAAAAAAAAACAACGATTTTGTTAAAAAAAATTCAGAAAGGAAAATAAACAGACCCAGAGATTTTCAAGTTTCCTGAAAGAGAAAATAAGTTTCTATTTTCAGAAAGATTTCAGGAACAACCTGCTGTGGAAAATGAGGCATAGGCCATACTCCAAACAGCATTTGTTGCACCCTGCTAGAGGCCAGACCTTTGATCAGACACATTTTGTATTATTGTGTTTAATCTTTCAAACATCCATCAATGTGGAATTATCACCCCTACTTGCCAGAAAAAAAATTATGTTCCTAAAGTTGTCATGATTTTGAAGACTATTTGGAGTTGAGATTTGAGTTTAAAAAGCGCTTGTGATCTTTCCAGGTTGAACAATACTAACCTGAAAATTGAGAGAAATCAAGGATGTTATCCAGACTGCCCAATTCACATGCCTTTCCACCATTTCTTTGTTCCTATTGTCTTGAACGTTGTGGATGGGGGGCTTGGGATAAACCTCAGTGCTAGAGCATGTGCCTCACATTTATGAAACCTTGGTTTGATTCCATCCAGAAATAGCTGGCTAGCTAGATAGTAGGGTAGATAGTTTTATAATGTCTTTATGAGAGTAGCAGGCAAATGCCAAGTCAACACTACCACCTTCTAAGAAAACTGGTCATTCTAGAGTTGTGTCTTTATTTTGCCTCTAGAATTCTATCTTGCATTATACAAAATTATGAGTGATAGCAGTAGGGGGATGTAATGACAGAAACTGAGTGGAAGACAAATATTCAAGCACCTTGGATTTAATGGTGCAATAGGCTATATAAGGTTGAAGGAAGCAGATGAATTTTAGTCATGAATACTTAGCAATGCAGTTGGTGCAATTATCCTATTGTCCTTTTTTTCTTTATTTTGTATGAATTTTTTATTTTATTGAATCACCATGAGATAGAGCATTACAAAGCTGCTCATGATTGGGTTTCAGTCATACAATGTTCCAACACCCATCCTTCTACCAGTGTAATTTTCCAGCACCAATGTCCCCAATTTCCCTCCCTCCCCCCAACCACTCCCTCCCCCCTGTCTGCCTCTATGACAGATAAGCCTCTTCTCTCTTCTCTCTCTCTCTCTCTCTCTCTGTTTCTCTCTCATTTTGGGCATTATGGTTTGCAATACAGATGCTGAAAGGTTAGCATGTATATTCCTTTACCTGCTTTCAACATTCAGTTCTTGTCCAGAGTGATCATTTCCAACTAATGTCATTATGGACCCTCCTCTATCTTAACCACTCTCCACCCCCCTCACCCTTGTGGTCATTTCCAACTTCTGACCAGTCTTCCTGGCCCATTTTCCCTGGCTTTGGATATTAGTTTTATACTTTATTTTTAGATCCCACAAATGAATGCAGTCATTCTATATATGTCCCTCTTTTTGTCTGTTTTTTGAATGGTTGGGTGTTCCAAAGATCCAGAGTGCCTTTCTCTTTCTTGGTTTTGTCATCTTGAAGTCTGCTTATTGTCACCCAGGGCCAAGGATGACAGTTTGATTTTAACAATTAGATTTTCAGAAAGCAGAGATTGTGAGACTGCGGATAACTAATTGAAACTAGTTTGAAACTAAAAAAAGAATTCAAGATTGGCAGTGGGGTCTGGCCTCAGGGTTCATTGCTTTGTTTTTAGCCCTTCTGACTAAAATGTTCATATTCAAAGTAGAGATGATCCTGCTTGGAGTTTGGAAAATTGTGAGCATAAACAAAAGCAATGGATGAATTTAAAATATATATATAAACCACTCAATAACCATAAGAAAATCAAGCTATCTTCCAATTACCCTGACTGGATGACGGAAAATCTCTGGCCTTGGTGATGCTTTTAGAAGATCTGTTTCTATTTACCACAAATAACAGTAGCTTACCAAGATTTCTATTGAAACTTTGTTCTTTGGTAGTCATTATTTAGGCTGCACATAAAAATGGCTGTCCAATCAGACCACGTTTTTAAACAAATGTAAATAAGAGGTTAAGAGTATGGGGCCGCTAGATGTGGGAGGTGGAACTCAAATCCTTGCCAAGTTATTCCCTATTATATTATAGCAACCTTACTTATAAAATAGGGAGAATAATGAACAATAACTACTTCATAAGGTTCTTGAGTGATACATAAAATAATGTATAGGCCATACTATGTGCCTAGAATATAATGTCAAATACTAACATTGATTATTATTATTATTATTATTATTGTTGTTTTTTGATCCCCTCCAGCAATGCTCAGGGGTTTCTCCTGGCTCTGCACTCAGGGATAACCCCTGATGGTGCTTGGAGGACCGTATGGCATACCAGGGCTTGAACCCAGGTCAACTGTGTGCAAAGAAAATGCTCTAGTTTCTGTATTATGTTCCAGCCCCATAACGTAATTTGTTATTAATTTTTTTGGCTTTTCAGGGATTATTCCTGGCTCTGTGCCTAGAGATCATTCCTCATGGACTCAGGGGACCATATAGGGTAGTGGGGATTGAACCTGGGTCAGCCACATGCAAGACAGGTGCCTTATCTATCTCTGGCCCCTTTATTTGTCTTTGAGAGAGGGATTCAGGAGGTCCATATGCACAGTGGATAGAGGGCTGTTCCTGGCCAGGTGCTTGGTAGACCCAGGACTCCACATGCAAAGCACGCACTCTAGCCCTCTGTATGAGTCATCTCCCTGACCCCTGATTTTTATTATTGTTGTGTTAGCAACTCAAATTTTTTCTTCTAACAAAGCCCCCTTTCATGTGGTCAATGTAAAGCTACATGATACTGTGCGATGTGAAGGTGTGTTCTAGTGAGCAGGTACTTACTCCACCAGAGCATGCTAATTGTTCAGTATCTCAGCACAGTGCTCAACTCATTCCGTGGCTCAGTTCAATGCTAAAATTGGAAATTAAGCCATTTCATTTCACCTCAGGGTCTGAAACAAACACCATACAGATTGGTTTTGATTTGATTTCATTTTTTTCGAAATGAGAGTAATAGCTGATTTTGTTTGTTTTTAAAATGGATTACTTAACTTTCAAATTTCTATTGTCTTTCTCTTCCCTGCCCACTTTTTTGTTTGCTTCCCTCTCTTTCACCTCTGTATTTCTCTCTGTCTGTGTCTTTCTCATCTCTCTCTTAGAATCTGTGCTAGTCCTGACTGGAGCAAGAGATGTTCACCAGACTCATTTCCTATCCACAGTCCAAGAGGAGTGATAAGTTGGACAGGCCAAGGGCAATGCTATGAGGTAGAATGTGGTAAAAATTCTAAGTACTCTGATGCTTTAGAGGAACTATCACCTAAAGATATCAAGGTTCCCGTGGTGTGAATTTTGAGCTAGGACAGTTAGCATCCAGTCAAAAAAAAGATTTTATTTTATAAACACAAAGACGAGGATTTGTGTTCTAGGTAAACAAAGCTGCAGAAGCAAAGATGTTCAGGGTCTGTCTCTTGACGAAAATCACAATAATGGACTTAGCCATAATAATTGTTACTGTGTCTCCTCAGCCTTTGGTGGTACTGGACACTCCTCTAGGTAACAGTGATTGTGGTAGAGACAGTTCAAATAACACACAGCCTGTTTTCCCTAAGCATCAAATTGTTCTCAGGCTTGATTCTCCTTCTCATTCTTCCTAACTCCTGAAGCTGACCATGCAGCCAAGTGAATTTTATACAACACTTACCCCTTCAAGCGAATAACAACCGCGGCTGCTATGGAGAATGTTGTGGCACCTGGGATGCGATTCAGTGCTCTTTGAGCTTTATTCTAGTAATGTCACCTGAGCACTGGCAAGGGAAACTCTTGAAATTGGGGTCATGAAAGAAATTGCCTTCTTCTAACCTGTGTTAACAGCTTGACGGTTACTTTCAGGACCATTTAATCTAGGGATTCAGACTCTCCTCCTATCCAATCATCACATTCACCAAGCAGATTACAGTCCCTTTATTTCTTTTGTTGTCATTGTTGTGTTTTTGTTTTGGAGCCACATCTGATAGTGCTCAGGGGTTACTCCTGGCTCTACATTCAGGAATTATTCGCGACAAGGGAGGGGGTTGGGCTGGTGGAACTTTATGAGTTGTGGGGGATGGATGCTGTCAGCAGCATGCAAGGCTAGCCCCCTCCCACTGTACTATTGCTTCAGCTCCAATTCCCTTTTTTACTTCATAAAATATCATCCTACCTTCGAGATAGTCTATCAGAACTAAGAAAATTTAAGGCAGACAATGGTTAGAAGCATGAGAGTGACTCTTAGAATCTTTTGGAATTTAAAAATAGTGGCATTTCCCCTTTCAGCGAGAAGGAGTTCAAAGGACTATCTGGAAGTAGTGGAACTCAAATTAAGCCTGGAAAGACCAGGGTGGTTTCATGGACCTGATTCAGAGACCCACAGAAACCCTTTGTAATACTTGTTAGTTTTTCTGTGAAATTATACGCATGGTAGTAGTCCTTCTGGGTTGGAGGGGGAGGTCATAATAGGGAAACACTGAACTATTTTATATGTGTTTCTTATTCCAACCAGATTCTCTAGTACTAAGGAAGGTGGTTGGCATTCCCTCAAGACCCTCTGCAAGCTTTCAGAGGCAAATTATTTTGTCTAGGATGTTGATTAATGCCAAGAACTTATAGGATTGTATTAAAGTGATGCTTTTTTCAAGCTGAATGTTAGCCCGATGAGTTCTCTCAGTTTCATGGGGTTTTGATGTCTATTTCCTCAGGATGAATTTCAGACTTACTCTTGGAAAAAGGTAATGTGGATTTCCCTATCATCACTGCATGGCACATGTGGACTCACTCCTGACCACCCTGTCATTACAGACGAGGAGTGTATCATTAATAGAGCCATAAGAAAGCCAGACCTAAAGGTAAGAACCTTCATTCTTTTGGCAGATGTTGGAAACAGTTCACTTTTCCTCCCAAAGACAGATATTCAGTGTCAAGTTTCAACAGAGAAGATGGAACATTCAATGAATATGCATTCTGGAACAGCACAAAGCTTAGTGCAAATATCAGCTTCATTCCTTCTAAGTGGTGCAGTCTCTGTCAATTGCCAGATTGCTCTGGGCCTCAGTTTTCTATATGTTTAATTAAATCATGGTAATAATGATCATTAATTTATGATCATTTGATCATCACTTGCTAGCTGATGTGGCAAAAGCCTGGAAAAGCATTCCCAATGCCTGCCTCTCTTCACCAACTACAAGACCAAGATGACTGTCTTCCAACGTCCTAATGGGTCTATCACATCTTCCAGAGGGCAATGGAGAAGATTATCCATGATTTCTGCTCAGATCTCTTCGATAGCCACGTCCACCTGCCCACATACCAAATTCTGCAGGATTGATATGTCGTTTCCAACGTTTTCCCTTCCAAAATGCAACATGCCATTTTGTCAGTAAAGAAGCGAACAGCACCCAGCTCAGACAAGGTCAGACCTGAACACCTGAAGAACCTGCAGTCAGTACTTAACACACTGGCTTGGCTCTTCACATGCTACCTGTCTGAATGCAAGGTTCCGTCCCAGTGGAAAACCAGCAGGACTGTTCTACTGTACAAGAAGGGAGACATCCATGACATTGGCAACTATCACCCAATCTGCCTGACAGAACACTAGATGAAGGACAACCATGCGAGCAAGCTGGGTTCTGAAAAGGATTCAGCACGATGGACCATATCCACATGGTAACCAAGTGCATTGAGGTTTCTCAGGAGTTCAAGATGCCGCTCTGTCTAACATTCATTGATTTAAAGAAGGCCTTTGATTCTGTTGAGAAGGAAGCAGTCATCAAAGCCCTAGCCAAACAGGGCATTCAAACTCAATACATCAGGATCCTCCAAGAACTGTATTAGGGATTCACTACCAGGATATCACCATTCTAAAAGGAAGTGATCATCGATGTCAAGAGAAGGGTTCAGTAGGGTGATACCATTTCACTGAAATGCTTCATTAATTGATGAAATTCAGAAATTAGTTCTACAGAGATTGATACAGTGCTGATGGATGCTCAGTAAATATTAGTCCTTAGTAGCATTATTCCCTGTATTATAATCTATGTAGTTATTTATCTTAAAGTGAAACTATTCACTCAGGACTGTCCTTGGAGTCTGCTAAGTAAAAGAACTTACTGTGAATCCTTTCAAACATAATTCACTTTCTCCTCACCATATTAATTTAGTGCCACTTGAATTATGACTTGCTAATATTTTTATTGAAATATTTTTAAAGGCAGGCAATTTTCACTAAATTCATACATGGGTAGATAGTTTTTCAAATGAGCTTTATGAGCTCAGCTCAGTTTTAAAAAATAATAAAAGTGAATCATTGAGTATTTTGTTTACTGTTATCACCTACTACCATATTAACTGGCAAAACCAAGAGAGGTAATCGCTTAAATGGTCACCCACATTCAGAAGTTAGAGTTCCACATTAGCATAATAAAATGATCTCAGAGCATTAGTGATTTTCAGCATTTTTAATTGCATTAAATCAAATATGTGAAGAGATAAATGAAGAAGTGCCCAAATAAACAAAATGTGTTGAGTCCCAGAGGTCTTGGAAAGCTCTGAAGTCCAGGTTGGTAGGGAAATTGGGTTGTTAGATATCCCATGGCTCTGAACCTTAACTTTTCCATTGAAAAATAAGAATGTTAACTCCTTCACCCATTTCTCGGTGCTATTGAGAAACTTAAATGGGAAGATTGATAGTTTTATGATTTGTGAACCTTAGTTGACTCTTAAAATCCACAGTAATTCATGGTACTATCCTTCCCCTAGCCCCCTGAGTTGAAGATATATCTGAATAGCATAGAGTTCCCTCCATATAATCTGTGGATTCCACATCCTCATCTAAGGATTCAGCCATTCAATTCTTGTGCTTGGTTGAATCCATGAATTCTTGAATTTATTATGTCAACCTGGATGTCAGAGCTTTCCAAGAACTCTGTCTCTCAACACATTTTGTTTATTTAATAAATTATAATTAAGTAGTTAATAATTCATAATAATAAATTCAAGAATCCATAAATGTGTAACCCTGGGAATTAAAAAATTTTCATATATGTGGACCTGCATAGTTCAGGCTCATGTTGTTCAAGGGCCAAATGTATAGTCATATAAAAGGACCCACGCTTTTATTCAAATTGGAGGCCTCATAGTATAATGGCACTACCAAGATAATAACTATTCAGGACCATTGAGGAGGAGTTTGGAGACAGTAGCAAAGAACTGTAGTCACACTCACAAACATGTACTCTAAGGACTGTCTTACAGAGTTGCATACAAAACTGAATCCCAGTGCTTCAGCAGTAAAACAGAATATTCTTATATAGGGGTTCCAACAAGAAACAAAGAACAGGAAACCAGGGGGAGGGGAAGCTTCTTGATTCTGAGCAGAAAGATGAAGTTGATCAAACAATAGAGCCTTGATTTCTAAATTACTCTTTCCTGGTGTGAAGTTCCTGGAAATAGGCAAATAAACTCCACTTTGTGCAAATAGTATAATCATTATCCATTTACCAGTGTCCGCAGCTTCTGTAGTGACATGTGCTGTAAAATAAGCAGAGATCTTCCTTGCTAGGGGAATTTTAAAGATGTTTCATAGGTCTCCAAATGGGGTCACCTCCCTTTGTGAGAAATGGCTCCAGCATTTGTTAGAACTTTCCATATTCTGCCTGAACAAAAGCTTAACAGTGCCTTTATTTTTTTCCTAGATTATCAATGCCTTCATCTGATGATGCATTGTTTTATAGATTTTCTAATCTCAGTTTATGGTTTTGGTCTCTTAGTAGAGGTTCTCTCACTCTCACATTGTACCATGGTTTTTCTTTTACCATTGTTCCAACATGAATATTTTGTTTGTTTGTCTTTGAGCCAAGCCAACTGTGTTCAGGACTTACTCCTGGCTCTGCACTCAGAGATAACTCCTGGTGGGGGTTGGGGGAGCATGTGGCATGCTGGGGATTAAACCGGGGTCAGCTGCATGCAAGGCAATCACACTGTACTAGCTCCCAGCCTCTAACATGGACTTTTTAAGCAACAGAATTAATAAAGTTGGCAGCACTCACTTGATACATTTTGTTTTGTTTTGTTTTGTTTTTTTGCTTTTTGGGTGATGCACAGGGGTTACTCCTGGCTCTGCACTCAGGAGTTACTCATGGGAGTGCTCAGGGGACCATATGGGATGCTGGGAATCGATCCGGGGTCGGCCAGTGCAAGGCAAATGCCCTACCCGCTGTGCTATCTCCCCAGCCCCATCACTTGATACATTTTGAATCCTGAAAGTTATGATACTTTCAGACCACCTTCTGAGACTTGCTCCACATTTTTCAAGAAACTGAACTTTGGAGCCAGATGGACTTGGGTTCAAATTCCAGTTTTGTTTTTTAGTTGGTGTTATCTTGGACAAATTAATTACTCAAAATGAACTTCACAGGAAAAGTGAAGCTGAAATTATTATTTATTCTAGCAAATGATGATGAAAAAAACTGACGGTATATATGAAAAGTCCCTAAATACTCAATAAACAGCTGTTGTGCTTATAGTCATAGTATTTGCAAAACTGCTGAGAATACTGGAAAGGAAAAGATTTTAAAAATTGGGCCAAACCTGGCTGTGCTCGGGGCGTACCCCTGGCTCTGTGTTCAGGCAACACTTCTGGTGGTGCTTAGTGGACAATATGGTGACCCTATGAGGGTCTGAGTGCTGAGGTGATGAGGATCAAACTAAGGTTGACCACCTGCAAGGAAGTCACCTTCCTTTTATACTATTATTGTTTCCATGAAATATGAGACAAAAACCTTGAAATTTCTAGAGGAACCACATGCTGGTGTCTTTATAGGTACTCTTTCTTCTCTAATTCCTAGTGGAAATTGACTCTAGTCTTTTACGGAACATCAATAGGAAAATCATACCTACATTTCAAGTTACTTTTTAGTCAACTTAATTAAAACAAATCATTTCAAGAAAGTAAGATATACACCAATTTAATACTTGGTACTATGTGTGTGTGTATGTGTGTGTGTGTGTGTGCGTGTGTGTGCGTTCACACATTTATTTAAACAGAGCAGAGATTCATCTGAGGTAACCCAAGTTTTAGAAGCTAGGCTTTTAAGCTTGATTTCAAGTTAACATGTGGTTGTACAAAGCATTCATTGACTTATTTACAAAATAACATATTCACTTTTCATGAGCCAGCTATGTGAAGGTTTGAGATTTTTATCTAATGGTTATATGAACTATAACATTCAAAGATCTGCATCATAATCAGAGGAACTGCAGTGAAACTTGGAAGTAATCTAATTGCTTTAATTTATTCATGAGGCAATGGAAGGGCCAAGAGAAATTTAGCTGAATTTCTCAAGGACACAGTGATCAGAATTACCATAAAAGAAAATCTTAAATGCTGTATCTCAACTTCAGCTGCACATTAGAATTAATTGAGGCTTAAAAAATATTTATTCCCAGTCAACACTCCAATCAAATAAAATCAGTGACTCTCTGTTGTGCGACCCAGACATCAGAATTTTTTTGTTTGTTCATTTTGGGGCTATACCCAACAGAGCTCAGGGTTTACTCGTGGCTTTACATTCAAGATCACACCTTGTGGAGCTTGGGGGACCATATGTAATGTCGGGAATTGAACCCAGGTCATCCTCATGCAAGGCGCCATACCTGCTGTACTTTCGCTCTGACTCATCAGTACTTTTTAAAGCTGACCCATTTGTTCCAAGGAATAAACTGAATTTACAGAGATTACTCCAGAAAAATCTGACAGTCATACAGTTTCTCTTGGTGGATAGCTTATCAGTTAATGGAAATATATATATAAAAATTTACTTGAAGAAATATGAAGCAAAAATCCATTTCCACTGCTATCACCTTTGCCCTTCACTTCCTGGGTCATGTTTTCTTGCAATAACTGCTCTCTCTCTTCTTGTGCCTACTGCCAGCCTAATCTTTTATTGAAGAGAAGGTTGTCCTCTTCTCTAAGGCTATTCTGAAGGTCCATTGTCTATCTGACACAATTTTATAAAACTCATCCAAGCACATAGGATTGCATAAAGGGAAGATGCATCTGTCATTTCCATGGTATTATAGTATAGTGTGTTTTACAATATTGTATATATATATATATTATGTACAAATGAACTGCATGGCATAATTTTCTGTGTTTTTGTAATATGTTTTATTTTCTTGTTAGGTTAAATGCAGAAATTATTTAATTAATATATTTTTATATATAGTAGGCCCATGATACAATTTAATAATATCTTCTTTTATGTGTAATAGGAAAGGGTAGGCTATGTTAGAAACAAAATATTAAGTAAGTGTAATGGAGCTCTATTTTTACTTCTTCAACAAATGCATCTTAAGCCATTAAAGGCTGTGTATTTATTAAACCTCAAATTTGAGACTTTCTGAATATCTTTTATTTTTCAGGTGAGGTATATAAAAGTGCAGAAAATAAGATATGTTTGGAACAACTTAGAAGGACAGTTCCAGAAAATTGGGTAAGTATTTTACAATTGTTGTTCAAAGAAGAGAAATAGTATCTCAGTTTTCATTATGCTAAACATGTTTTTCTCATTATTATTATTCTAGCTCTTTGGAAGACTGGCTTAGTTCTGCCAAGATACATCTAAAATTTGGATCGGGTCTAACAAGAGAAGAACAAGAGATTAGGTACCATGCAAATTATTATCTTCATCAGCACGAAAGGAGTCTTACCATATTACTTTTAGCCTGAGAGAGAGACACAGAGAGAGACAGAGAGAGAGGGAGAGAGACAGACACACAGAGAGAGAAAGTGAGAGAGCGAGCACCCAGTACTTCTTAACAGTATCAGAAAACATTGCAATATTCTATTTACTGTTAATCAATTAGACACTCTCACATACATGTTCTCACTTCTCCACTGAATCTTTCTGGGGATGGTAGAAAAGATTTGCCCATTATCCTAATGTGACAGATGAGAAATCTGAGACTCAGAGTGGTTTAACAATATGACCAAGGTCACACAGATGGGTAGTGATAGAGTAAGGACTCAGTCTTATATTTCTGACCCCAGATTTAGTGTTCTCTTTTACTCAACGCAATACTCTTCAAGGTTATTAAAGTGAAGCCAGGTGTGCGATTTATTTATTTATTTATTTATTTATTTTTACTGCACTTGGAATTGAACCCAGAGTCTCGTGTATACTAGGTTAGCACTCTATCATTGAGCTACATTCTTTCCCCCAAGGTTAAGCTAGTTCTGACTAACAGAAAATATATTTATAACAATAAAATGATATAGTTAAATGATAATAGAAGAATATTATGCAAGACAAAGCTTCACAATTTCAAGTCAATTTCTGGGTGGAAAAACAAGGTTTTGGAAGGGCACTGGATTGAATGTAAGGAGGCTGGTCCCAATATGCTGTGTCTGTGAGTAATTTATCCTTTATAAAGACTGCACTGCTGGTCCTGTTTCTACGACTTGGGCACTTTACTCATTCTCATTTTCATTATCTGTTACATGCATAGAATCAGACCATACCTTAACACTACTGAATTAAAATCTTTACAAGAACACCAAGTGATCTTTGAAGTTTGAGCAGCATCGCGTCAATACATTCTGTCAAACTATTTACACTGAAGTTTATGTGAAAGATACACAGAAAGTAATGGTGCATATTATCAACAGGGATATTAAGGATCATTGCTCTGCATAATCAAAGAAACATTCCTGAGTTTTCAAAGGGCTGAATAAATGTGTAAAGAACTCTTTTTGGGAACCAATATCTCGCATTAAAATAAATCTTGTGACCTCCCAGAACTGAATAGTCATAGGAATACAGTCACACTATTCCCTATTGTAATAATCCTTCCATTCCACATCTAAGGCACCAAAGTTGGGGAAAGAGAGTTAGAAAGTACCACCTATGAAACTACTTTTATGAGACCGTGGCTAGTATTAAATGCCTGAATTAAAACAAGGAAATATTTAGGCCTCAGTAAACTCTAGTAATTCATTGAGTAAACTCAGTAAACTCATTGAGGTTTCTCGGGAGTTCAAGATGCCGCTCTGTTTAACGTTCATTGATTTAAAGAAGGCCTTTGATTCTGTTGAGACGGAAGTGGTCATTGAAGCCCTAGCCAATCAGGGCATTCAAGCCCAATACATCAGGGTCCTCCGTGAGCTGTATTGCGGATTCACTACCAGGATCTCACCATTCTACAAAGAAGTGATCGTTGATGTCAAGAGAGGGGTGTGGCAGGGTGATACCATTTCACCGAAACTCTTCAGTGCCACCCTCGAGAACATCATGCGACGACTGGAATGGGAAGGAATGGGAGTGAAGATAGATGGTCGGCAACTACACCACCTCCGCTTTGCTGATGACATTGTTTTAATAACACCAAACATCAGCCAAGCGGCACAAATGCTGGCCGACTTTGACCGTGAGTGTGGAAAGGTAGGACTACAGCTGAATCTTACGAAGACAATGTTTATGAGAAACAGCCTTGTTCCTGACGCCCCATTCACTCTCAACGGAACGACCATCTCTGAATGCAACAGCTATGTCTACCTAGGTCGAGAGGTCAACATGACAAATGACCTGGCACCCGAGCTGCGCAGGAGGAAAAGAGCAGCTTGGAATGCCTTCAAGAACGTCGAAGAAATAGCTAAGAGGATGAAGAACCTCCGGCTCTGGGCACATCTCTTTGATTCCACTGTTCTTCCTGCATTAACATATGCCTCAGAGACCTGGGCCCTACGCAAACAAGATGAGAACGCTATTCAGGTCTCCCAAAGAAGAATAGAAAGAGCTATGCTTGGAATATCACGTTTCACTCATATGAGAGAAAGAATCCGGAGTTCTGACATCTGTCGACGATCAAGAATCAGGGACGCTGTCTCATTTGCCAAGGTGTCGAAAATCAGATGGGCTGGTCACATAATGAGATTTAAAGACGACCGCTGGACTAGAGCTGTTACCGACTGGATTCCACGGGATGTCAAAAGACCGCGTGGCCGCCCAACTACCAGATGGTCAGACTTCTTCGTCAAGATCATGAACGATCGGTTTGAGGCCCTTCATGTTCCTGGAGCGAACAGATGCTATTGGGCTACACTAGCACGCGACAGGGACAAATGGAGATGTTACTGGCGCCTGCTCGAGCAAATCGATGACTAACGGGAAGTTAAGTGATTAAGTGAAGTGATTAAACTCTAGTTTAATCTATGTAATAATGAATCATATTTGTAGTTTTGGTACCTGGAACCCTTCCTTCCAAATTATTCTGGCAAGGATGATCACGTTTTGTAACAAGAGAGAATTACACTTATACTGTAGTTGAGAAAAAAATGTGGGATAGACACGTTTTTTAAATGGGTGAGAAGTGAGTTTGGTTTTGACTAATAGTAACTGAGTGATCTGTCACTTCTCCTTTTAGGAGGTTAATATGTGGACCTAACACTATTGATGTTGAAATCACACCAATCTGGAAACTGCTCATCAAGGAGGTAATCAGTATTTTCCCTTCATGCTTTGTAGAAAATAAAAGACATTCAGGCAAGTCAAGTGATCAAGAATGTTACATGCCAATAAGTAATTGTCATTTTGAATATTCTAAAAACAATTTGAAGCATGTTTTTCTCTGACCAGTTTTTCACTTTTTTTTCCCTTGGAGTCCAAATTTTGCATTGATTCAGTTTAAGATAGGATGCTGGTGGATCTCTTTGTCCTTCAAGAATTGAATGAACATATTGCTTCTTTCTTTTGTAATGCTATGCTTCTTAGCCTGTTTTGAGTTTTTGAAATTAAAATTTAAAAGCTTTACTCCTTTTCTTATAGATCACATATAAAATTTTCTGAACTTCAAAATTATACAAGAGCAATATACGTTCAATATTCCCAAATTAATGTGGGAAGGAAAGATTTTGCCATTATTGCTAGGTGAATTTCTCCTTTTTAAACTGGACTTATTTTTCATCTTATAGTACTATAACAACACTACAATAACATAGATATACACTGTTCCCCTGCCTCCTCCACCATTAAATTCACCTTCACTTCTCCTTATTTCTTAGATTAAAAAAATGCCACTTTGGTTACAGTGATACAAGGGAAACCATGTCAGATAAAGTGCCAAAAATAAAAAAAATAAAAAAGAATGCCTGCTGAACTCTAGGTACTTTCTCAATATTTTTTTTAAAAACAAGCTTGCAGACAGGAGAGCAAGCAAAATAAATTGATAAGAGAAAGTTTTGTGTGCTTCTTTCTGAACCAGAGGCAAGGATTACTGTATCTGTTTTAGTCAGAAATTATCTGAGAAGAACTGGGTATGGAGTAAAGACAGACGATGTTTTTAACCAATACAGAATTAAACTGTTGCAGTTCATCTCTGCTTTCTCCTACGATGTTCTAGATGCTCAATTATGGTTTTAACATGCTCAGCTTAGGTTTTTCACTTATGAGAAAATACAGTCTTCAACTCATCCATCAGCCTATGCTACTTAATGGATACATATGGTAGTTGCTGTGTCTGAGGGGATAATAGACTACAAAGCATTTTAACTTTCTAAATCCAAATTAATGCTTCATCCTTCTGGAGGCAGTAATTGTAAACTGGAGATGATAGTTATTCCTTACACCGCTACTGCAGTTAGCATGATAATCATATGAGACATGACTTTGTAAGTCAAAAAGTGAAAGCAGAGATTTTAAATTCCCTGGGGCAAAATTGCCTGGGTTCAAGTTTTGATGACATTAACCTGTGTGTGACCTGGGACAACTTTCTCAAGATCTAAGACTCACTTGATTTCTTCATCTTTACCATGAAGATAATGAATCATGTCTGGTTAATAAGGCAGTTGTAAGAATTAAATGAGTAACATGAGTAACTTCAAGTGAAGTTGCTTAGTGCAATGGTATGACAAATGCTGAATAAAAAGAGTAAGAATATTGTGTGGGATGATTTATGACATAGAGATGATTCTGAAAGCAAACAAATCAATGAATAGCTAAATGTGAAGTCTAAATATCTCTCTTGTCTTCTGCTTTTATGTCTGCCAACAGGTTTTAAATCCGTTTTACATATTTCAACTCTTCAGTGTCTGTCTATGGTTTAGTGAAGACTATAAGGAATATGCCTTGGCCATTGTCATCATGTCGGTCATTTCCATAGCTTTGACTGTGTATGATCTCAGAGAGGTGAGTTTTTCCACCAACCCCATTATCTCAGAAGGGAGGCAATAAAGACTGTATTGAAATTTTGTCAGAGAGGAGAATCAGGGAATGAACAGTCATTGTCTCCTCTATAATAAGTGATTCCAAAATATTTTGCACTATAGTCCAAGTGTTAGTCCTCTTTCCTTGCTGGTGAATGTTTTCTAAGCTTTCAGAGTATTTCTCCTCTCTCTTTAGCTTACTCAGACAGACCAGTCAGAAGAATATTCAGAATTGCTCCTTGAGAATAAGTGAAAACAATGGGAGAATGATAGATTTTAGATGATGGAGGAGGGGCGGGAGGTGGAGGTATATTTTGCTTTTGTTTTGAGTCACACCCAGCTGTGCTCAGGGATTACTCCTGGCTCTGTGCTCAGGGATCATACCCAGTTTGAATAGGTGCAAGGCAAGTGCTTTACCTCTGGTACTGTTTCTGCTGCTTCCAAATTTTTATGTTTTATGAAATATGAACACACCACACCTTCTACCAAAGCACCAATATTCCTCCACCATTATCTGTAGGCCCTTTCCTGTCCACCTAAGGTATTAATTAAATTCTGTTCTGAGAGTCTAAGGGTTTGCTTTCCTTGGGTACTATCTACTTCACAGATGAGGCCATCTGTTATTTTTCTCTTCTCTTTCTGACTTATTTTATTAGTATGACATTCCCCCTCCCTCCACCCAGTTCTATGCATGTTGCAGCAAAAGGCGAGACTCTCTTTTCTCACAGCTGAGTAGTAGTCTATTTGTACGCATGTGCTGCAATTTCTTTATCCACTCATTTGTATGTGAGCATTTGGGTTATTTCCAGATCTTGGCTGTTAAAATAGTGCTGAAGTGAAGCTAGCTATGCATCTATCTTTTCAAATTAATATTTTTGTGCTCCTGGGGGTGGGTACTTAGAACTTTCTAGTGGAATTGCTGGATCATATCATAGTTATATTTAATTTTTTAAATTAAATCTCTCCAGTTTCCATAGTGGTTTGACATGAAATACAACTTGCATGTCCTCCAACAGCAGATGAGAATTTCTTCGCCTCGCCCTCCCATTGATGTTTGTAGTTTCATGACGCGACCATTCTTTCTCTATACTGTGAGGTGATAGCTCATTGTTGTTTTTATTTGCATTTCTCTGGCAGTCAGTGATGAAGAACACTTTCTCATGTGCCTACTGGCAATTTGTCTGTCCTCCTTGGAGAAGTGTCTCTTCAGCTGTTCTATTTTTTGATGAATTGTTTATTTTTCTAGTGCTGCATTTCGTGAGTTCTTTGTATACTTTGGATATTAGTCTTTGTCAAGTCTTTTGTATGGCATGCAAACATTTTATCCCATTCATTAGGAAGTTATTTTGTTTTAGCGATCATTTCTTTCACAGTGCAGTTTGATGTAATCCCATTAAGTTTTATTTTCCTTGCCAATGGAATTTAATCATAGAAGACACCTCTGATGCCAATTTTATGGAGTGTTTTTTGTCTACTTTTTTATATGGATTTTCTTTTATGAATTTAAGCCTAAGATCTTAATTTTGAATCTGCTTTAAGTTAACTTTTGTGCATATTGTGAGATAGTCATTTAATTTCATTTTTTCCCACAAGGCTAACCAGTTTTCTCAATAACATTATTGAAGAGGCTTTTTAAATTCATTTATGCTTTGTTCTTCGGTTATAAATTAACTGTCTGTATATCTGAGATTTATTTATAGGTTCTCAAGTTTATTCCATTTGTCTAAGTGTTCAATTTTATTCCATTAATATGAAATGTTCAAATTTATTCCATTAGTACACCGATTTGGTTACTATAGTTTTAGAGTAACTTTATTCATTTCTTCTTATGATTATGTTGGCCACTTGTGTGGTTTTGTGATTACATGCAAATTTTAGAAGTATTTTTTCTATGTTTCTGAAAAAGGACAGGGAAATTTTGATGGGATCTTACTGAATTTGCAGAATGCTTCGGAGATAGGATGGTCATGTTAAAAAAAACTTATTTTTTAAATCTTCTTCCAATCTATGAAAATAGGGTACTTTCTCATTTCCTGTTTATTTTTTAATAACAACTTGGTTTTTGATGTATATGTCTTTCTCATCCTTTGTTAAACTGATTTGTAAGTACTTATATTTTTGATGCAAAAGTAAATAGAATTTCAAAATATTTTTTCTGTTAGTTTTTATACAGAAATGTAACCAATCTTTGTATTTTGAATTTGTAGCTTGTCACTTCTCTGCATGTTTTATTGTTTTCAATATTGTAGGTAATTTTATTTTTTTAGGATTTTCTATGTACATTATCTACATAATGTACTTATGTTTAATTTCTTTTCCAACTTGAATCTCCCCCCTTATTTCTTTGCCTAACGGTGCTATCTAGAACTTCAAATATTATGTTGAAAAATATTATTTTGAAGATAGACATTCTTATGTTAAAAAATAAAAGGTTAATTCTCATTCCCGCCCATGTTTGTTCTTGTAATGACTGAGGTTCACACACCTGGTTGTGATGCTGGCATTTCTCTCAGTACCTATGAATTGGTGCTGGGCTTCAAACTTACTTCCTCATACTTGCAAGGCAGGCCCTTTGCCCAAACAAGCTCCTCTGATTTCTATGTCACTGCGAGTTTTATCATAAGTGTATTTTAAATTTAGTAAGAAGCTTTCTGGGCATCTACTAATAAAGTCACCTGATTTTTAATCTTTACTTTTGCTTGTGTGGTATATGTTGATTGATTAGTTTTGGCAGAACCATCCTTGCATTCCCAGAAACATTTTCACTTGGTTATCATGCATTATTCCTTTTGTTGAATTTTGGTTCACTATTTGGTTGAACCTGCTTGGTTTGGGACTGGGCCTCTTCCACCCAGATCTCCCATCTTCCAGTAGCTAGACAGTTACACCCACCAACTGCTGTGTAACCCCATCAATGGCCAAGATCCAGAGACTATAAAACCAAGCTTCTGGAAGAGAACAATGCAGAGTCTTCTGCCCCCATGCCTGGATGTCCTCACTGGGGCCTCTTGAAGGGGGGTGGTTTGAGTTTCCCTCTCTGTCCCGAGCAGAGCCCTGGCAGCTGAAGACCTCTGGGACGCAGCCACAGCCATGCTAAGACCACTCTCCACATGCTCAGATGAGCCTCATGCGTGAAGGAACTGGCAGAGGAACCCAGGTGTGGGACCCGGGGCTGAGATCTCCAAGCCTGCTCGGTTCAGGACTGAGCCTCCTCCACCCACATCCTCCCATCTTCCAGTAGCTAGACAGTTACATCCACCAACTGCCATCAACGGTCAAAGTCCAGAGACTATAAAACCAAGCTCCTGGAAGTGCATGGCCGCATTCGCGGCCTCGAGACCTCTTATTGTCTAGTTCTCACTCTCAGAGAACCCGGCAGGCTACCGAGAGTATCCAGCCCACATATATACCTGACTGGGAACACCTGTAAAGGTGATTAGAGGCTGCTCCAAAAGCCTCCATCCCTCTCAGAGAGCCTGGCAAGCTACCGAGAATATCCCACCCACACAGCAGAGCCTGGCAAGCTACCTGTCGCATACTCGATATGCCAAAAATAGTAATAATGATGGTCCTCTTTCCCCTGACCCTGAAAGAGCCCCCAATATGCCATTAGGCCACACTAGTATGTGACAGGGACGAATGGAGACATTACTGGCACCCTCTTGAGCAAATTGATGTACAACGGAATTATAGTGATAGTGATAGTGATTTTGTTGAAGATATTTGCCTCTATGCTTTATAAGGAATATTGGTTTGCAATTTTCTATTTTGTGTGTGATGTCTCTATAAACATTTGGTAATCATAAACCATATTAGCCTCATAAACACTGTTTAGAAAAATTCCGGTTTTCTCAATTTTTTAGAAGGAGGCTAAGAAGTATAGATAATAAGTCAACTTTAAAAGATTAGTAGAACTTACTAATAAACTAACATGCACCTTGGCTTTTGTTTTAGGACAGACTTTTGGCTACTTCAATTTCTTTGCTTTTAATTGGTCTTATCAGGCTTTCAATTTCGTTCTGAATCAATTTAAGAAGGTATGATTCTGAAAAATTGTGCCTTCCTATTTAATATGCTCTCCTATTTAATGGAATAGAATTGCTCATAGTAGTCTCTGATGACCTTTTGTATTTCTGTGGTATGTTATCATTCCTGCCCTTTCATTTCTTATCACATTTAATAGATTTTTTTTCTTTTCATGAATCTAACTATGGATTTGTTAGTCTGATTAATTTTCAAATAACTAGTTCTTGGTATTATTGATCTTTTGTATTGTCTCCCTATTTTCTATTTCATTCATTTCTGCTTAAATTTTTGTTATTTTCTTTCTTATTGTCCTTGGAGAACATTGCTATTCTTTCTCTAGTTACTTTATCTGTGAATCAAGTTGATATATAAAGCAAGTTACTTAAATATTTGTTTTGCGTAGCAAGTTGTTCACATGTGCATTCAGCTTTTTGAAGGTGGAGAACCCTGTAATGTCTCTTTACCCAGACTTTTCCAACTTCTCATTAAAGGTTTTGTTTCCTTATCAGTTTTCCATCAGGTTAATATGTCCGTTGTTGAGAGTGATGTGTTCAAGTTCCTACTACTATTGTGTTGCTATCATTGTCTCTCTTCAATCTTGTTAGTGACTGCTTTATACATTTTGATGCCTCTTTTTTTGGTGCAGGTATATTAATAAATGTTAAGTCTCTTTGCTGTATGGGTCCCTTTGGGTAGATGTCAAGAAGTGTAATTCTGTGTCATATGGAAGCTCAATTCCTAGATTTTTGAGAAGTGTCCATATTGTTTTTCAAAAGGGCTGGACTAGTCAGCATCCCGGCCATCTGTCAATGAGTAACCTCTTTCCTCCACATTCATGCCAACATTGGTTGCTTCTGTTCTTTGTGATGTGTGTCAGTCTAACTCATGAGATAACTCATTATTGTTTTAATTTACGTTTCCCTGATATGGGCTGGAGCGATAGCACAGCGGTAGTGCATTTGCCTTGCATGCAGCCAACATGGCCGACCTGAGATCAATTCCTCCGCCCCTCTCGGAGAGCCCGGCAAGCTACTGAGAGTATCTCGCCCGCATGGCAGAGCCTGGCAAGCTACCCAAGACGTACTCAATATGCCAAACACAGTAACAACAAGTCTCATGATGGAGACGTTACTGGGCCCGCTCGAGCAAATCGATGAACAACGGGAGGACCGGGCTGATATGTGGTACAGAGCACTTTTTGTATGGCTCCTGGCTGTCTGTCTGTCTTCTTTGAGAAATTTTCTGTGCTCTCCTTGTCTATTTTTTGATAGGCATAAAAATTTTTTCTCTTAAAGTTCTAATTGGTTTATGTATCTTGGATATTAGTCCCTTATCAGGTGAGTGGTGGGTAAATATTTTCTCCCAGTCTGTGAGATGTCTTCATTTTGGTCAGTGTCTTTTTTGCAGAAGTTTCTTGGTTTGCTGTAGTTCCATTTGTTTATCTTTACTTTCATTTGACTGGCCAGTGGTTTTAAATCCTTGGAGATATCTCTAACTTCAATGTCATGAAGTGTTATGCCTGTGTTCCTCATAATAATTTCTGTATTCAGATTTAATATTGAGGTATTTAATTCATTTTGATTTGTCTATCAGAGTTTTAAGAGGCGTTCAGTTGAGCCATATAATCTATATATCAAAAATATCAAACAATATGCATCAGTTTTACATTAATGGAAGTATAATGTGTATATATTTCTGTACTTACAATTTTTACCTAATAATATTTTTTTAGATGTGTTAAAATTTCAAAACCGTATGTGGTTGAATAGTTAGGTTGTTAGTCTTTTGCTATTAAGACAATACTGCATTGAGAATTTTACATGGCTTACCTTGTCACACATCCACAGATATTTATGAATATAAAGACACTGTAAGTAATATAATTTATATTTCATTAGTTTTGGATCTGGGCTGGGTATATGGGCTGGAGTGATAGCACAGTGGTAGGGCGTTTGCCTTGCGCGCAGCCAGCCCAGCCGAGCTGGGTTCGATTTCTCCGCCCCTCTCGGAGAGCCTGGCAAGCTACTGAGAGTATCTTGCCCGCACAGCAAAGCCTGGCAAGTTACCTGTGACATATTCGATATGCCAAACACAGTAACAAGAAGTCTCAAAATGGAGACATTACTGGGCCTGCTAGAGCAAAATCGATGAACAATGGGAGGACAGTGTTGACGGTTATGGATATAGCCCAAACAAAGATATATAGGCTTATCTATTGATGGAGATGTAAAATTTCTACACTTCAAATGACTCAATAACATAGGTATATTATTTCAATAGATATATCAAACAGTTCTTTAAACAACAATAGCAGTTGATAGTCCTCTGAAAAATGGATAGGTATTATTTTCTTCATCTCTCATTATAAATAGGTATAGAATTTCATAACTATAATGACTTGTTTTCTTTTATGAGCTGAGTATTTGCTCATGTTTAAAGCTAGATGTATTTCGTATACTTTAAATCATGTTCCATGTCTTTCATTAATTTTTATTGTGTGGTTGAACTTTTGTTTGCTGATTTTATATATTTGTTTGTATGTGGCTTTAGGCCACACCTGGCTTGCTCAGGGCTTTTGGGTGACCATAAGGGGTGCCAGGATTTGAACCTGGGTTGGGCGTGTTCAAGCAAGACAAGTGCATTATTCATTGTATTATCTTTCTAGCCCGTTTGCTGGTTCTGTGGTCTTCCTCCCATAGTGGATATCTTTCTACTTTATGGACTTCCATAACCATTCCAGTTATCCCTCTGCTTGATTTGGTGTCCTCTTTCCCTTAAATTCAGTGACAGCACACTCCTCATTCTCTTTCTTGATTATTCTCTATATGCATTAAAAATGGGTGTATCAATATAGCAGTGGTTTGGAAATGCATGCTATGTCTATATACAACTTCACCTTTCTCTCCACTCCATTTTTAGACCCACTCATTAGTTTTTTACACATCTTCAAAAAAATATTTTAGACAAATCAGGTAAATACAAGTTAGACATCTTTTTATTCCTATGTAAAGAGGAGCATAATTACATTTTTTAAAAAATCTACCTTAGATGAGAAATGGCACACTGGTGGAGAGATGGGTGTTGGATCATTGTATGACTGAAGCCTGATCATGAACAGCTTTGTAACTATGTATCTTAAGGTGACTCACTTGAAAAAATTAAATCTGCTTTATTATTAATAGTAATAAAATGTCCTTAGGGTCCTTTATATGTGTAAAGTGATTCTTCATTATTCTTATAGCTGCATATGATGATTTCTATAGGTGTAGATGCTAACAATTTCAATTTGACGTACTTTTACATACTAAAGTTCTTTCTGAGTCCCAGACTAATAGATAAAACCTACTATTTGAGAGAGAGAGAACAAAAGGGAATGCCCTGCCACAGAGGCAGGGTGGGATAGGGGGGAATGGGGGGTGGGAGGGATACTGGGATCCGTGGTGGTGGGAAATAGGCACTGGTGGAGGGATGGGTATTTGATCATTGTATAATTGAAACCCAAGCACAAAAATGTGTAAGTTTGCAACTGTACCTCATGATGTCTCACTATTAAAAAAAAAAACCTACTATTTGATTCCATCTCAATACTTTCGAAAAGTTTTTATCAGTTCAATTTGTTATGTTCCCAAAATATATGTTTTTCCTTCTTATTACTGATATTGATACATTTATGTATGCTATTACTTTATTAAATGTATTTTCCCCCATAGTTTGTAAATTTTTTTAATGTTAAGAATTGTAACTCTTTGACTGTTCATTCTATACTCATCACATGAAATAATTTTTGGCATGTAGAATGTTCAATAAATGTTGAGTGAATGCATAAATGAATAAAAGAATGAGGTAATGATAGATACACTTTTTGACCTTATATTGTTATAATAATAATTATTAGGGCATGTTAATCAGATTTATAAATGATTTGAAGCTAAGAGGTTTAGGGAATGTTTTAAATGACAACAGTCACGGTCATGGTCTTCCTGTTGTTCATTGGTTTGCTCGAGCGGGCCCAGTAACATCTCCATTGTGAGACTTGTTGTTATTGTGTTTAGCATATTGAATACGTCACGAGTGGCTTGCCAGGCTTTGCCGTGCGGGCAAGATACTCTCTGTAGCTTGCCGGGCTCTCCGAGAGGGGCGGAGGAATTGAATCCGGCTCAGCTGGGCCAGCTGCGCGCAAGGCAAATGCCCTACCGCTGTGCTACACTCCAGCCCTTAAATGACAAAATAAAATAAACATACTCAAAAACCCACCTCTCCCCAAACCAAGATAGATAGCATTGGACACAATAATTTCTCAATAAATATATGATTAGATAGAGTTTATTGCATTTAAAATTTTGCTCTCTCTTTAATCAGTTATCTTAGATATCCCACATAGTTCACAAATTAAAAAAACACATACTCTGAGAAAATTGCAGGATCCCACCTCCTCGTAAAATTATAGATTAGCTATTTGATATAGCACAGCGGGTAGGGCGTTCGCTTTACAAGCGGCCAACATGGCCGACCCGAGTTCGATTCCTCTGCCCCTCTCGGAGAGCCCGGCAAGCTACCGAGAGTATTCGATATGCCAGACACAGTAACAACAAAGTCTCCAATGGAGACGTTACTGGGCCCGCTCGAGCAAATCGACGATCAACGGGAGGGCCTTTACCTTACCTTACCTTACCTTTTTGAAGCTTTTTAGATCCAAAAAAGTATTTTGAATGATGAAAATTCTTGTTGTTTATCATTTAAAGTACTGAGCCCAAATTAGTGGCTATAAAAAAATCTATGAGAGGCTAGAACATGCTGAGAATTCTCTTGTTTAAAACCACATACTGACTTTTCAGTTGACTCACTGTACTGAAAAAATCTGAGCTTCAACCTCAAGTGGAAAATCTTTATTTTTTCTGTTTTCTCTTTTTTTTTCAGCAATCTGTGAAACTCCATCATCTAGTTGAGTCACACAATAATGTTACAGTCTCTATATGTGGGAGAAAAAGTAAGTCTATTTTGGCCATTTAAATCACTTTATTCATTTTGTATGCTTTTTATTCAGTATAACAATGCACTATAACATTATAAAACTATCAGGTGTGCATCATTAAAAAGTTAACACGTGTGTCCCCATTGGTCATAATTTATGTCTCTCTCCTTTCTCGCCATCTTCTTTCTCCTTTCCTTTTTGACAGCTACTTAAGTCCCATCATTTTGATCAATGTCTTGTTAATATGGAATCAGAGAAGGATACATTTGAATCTTTGTTCTTATTAATCATCTTCATACACCTGTTATCCCATATATTTTTACTTAATGAGAAAAGCAACTTGTGATTTTTTTTACATCTTAAAGAAACAGTGTTATTTGGGTAAAATTTATTTACTGTAAACCAGACATGTTTAAAGTGTAAATTTGGATCGGTTTTGACACAATTACTAAAGTAAAAAAAGTAAGTAAAGGCCCTCCTGTTGATCATCGATTTGCTCGAGCGGGCCCAGTAACGTCTCCATTGGAGACTTTGTTGTTACTGTGTTTGGCATATCGAATACGTCATGGGGAGCTTGCCAGGCTCTGCCATGAGGACAAGATACTCTCGGTAGCTTGCCGGGCTCTCCGAGAGGGGCGGAGGAATCGAACTTGGGTCGGCCATGTTGGCTGCGTGCAAGGCAAACACCCTACCGCTGTGCTATCTCATGCACGGCAAAGCCTGGCAAGCTCCCCGTGACGTCTTCAATATGCCAAACACAGTAACAACAAGTCTCACAATGTTACTGGGCCCGCTTGAGAAAATTGATGAACAATGGGAGGATAGTGACAGTGACAGTGACAGAATTTTGTATACATGAATTTTTTTTAATGTACGAGTACTGCTATTTATTCAGCCACTGATTAGCTGATTGAATTGTGCATGAACTACACCTTACATTTTTTTCATTTTTTATAATTTTATTTATTGAATCACCATGAGAACAGTTACAAAGCTTTTGGGTCTAAATCTTGATCATATGATGAAACACCTGTACCTTCACCAGTGACCATTCTCCACCACCAAAAACCCCAGCATACTCCCATCCCATACCCTCCCCCTACCTGTGGGGCAGATGGTTTCCACATTACTCTCTCTCTACTTTGATCACATTCAATATTTGGACACCAGACCCACCATTATTGAGATTTTACCCCAACACTCAGATCTGCTGAAAAGGCAACAGTAGACAATTTTTGTTCTATTGCTGGTTATGAATGACATATGATGTCCTGTGGCTGTGGTAGGGCCATGTGATTTTGAAATTCCAAAATTTTAGCACTTAAATCTGGAGGGATTTCTGCCAAAAGCCACTGGGTTTTGAGATTTGCTACTGAGTCTCTGAGCAGCTTGATGAGGAGCCAGAGAGGCCGTTCATGGGCGATGACTTGGGGTCTCCTTGGGACGCGGAGACCAGGACAGGCTCCAACCCCATCCTGTGAGGCCCAACAAGTTTCGTCACTGTGGGCCCAGACCTGACTGTCCAATAGCCTCTGGAGGATGACGGCCACCGAGCCGCCAAGGGGGAGCAGGTGGAGGGACAACACCCTTTCCTCCCTGGGGTGGCCTGGCGACAATAACCTACCGCAGGGTCCAGATGTGTTTCTGCCAAAAGCCACTGAGTTTTGAGATTTGTTTCTGAGTCTCTGGGATCATGACCATTAAGCAGCTTGATCAAGAGCCAGAGAGGCTGATCGTGGGCAATGACTTAGGGTCTCGTTGGGGTGGGGAGGACAGGCCTGCCTCTATCCCCATCCCGTGAGGCCCTGCGTGTCTCGTCACTGGGGGCCTATACCTGACTGTCCAGTGGCCTCTAGAGGATGGCGGCCACTGGGCCGCCAGGGGAACAGGCCAAGGCACAAAACCTATTCCCACCTGGGTTGGCCCAGCACCAGTAACCTACTGCAGGGACCGGACACATTTCTGCCAAAAGCTGCTGGGTTTCGAGATTTGTTCTGAGTCTCTGGGATCATGGCTATTAAGCAGTTCAATCAGGAACCAGAGAGACCATGCCTCCAATTATATAGCTGAGCCGGAGGTGGTTTGTGGGTGTGTCTCCCACATACCTAACTTTTGGCTGTTTACTTTCTTGGTAAACTTTGCCCCAAGTTTTTGGGGTCTGCTTAAAGGCACAGCAGCAATTTTGGGGTATCTGGAAGTCTGAAGGCTCCATCAGGCTCCTGATGCACTCGCCTCACAGGTACAGAATGACCTGGAGGCGGCACCATACCCCCAATATACATGCATTTTTGTGGGTCAATTTTACTGAGATCAAATATCATGTTTTTTTTAAGTACAATTATTTTGTTCAATATATCAATAGATTATTCGTTTTTATTACTGAAATAGTTCAGGAGTTATATTTCTCCTTAGAGTCATTCTAGTTTATCTTTGAATTTATATATTCTACTTGATATAGGAATATGGCATGATCAAAGTAAAAATTTCAAACTCTTAATATATCTAGATATATAATTTATATTTTTAATGAAAGAAGACAATCATATTTACCTCTCATTAGAAGTATACATTTGGGAAGGGCGCCTGCATTGTATGCAGGAGGCCTGAGTTGAATCCCTGGCACCACGTGTAACCCAGTTTTCTATTGCTGGGAGCAGCCATTGAGAACAGAACCTGGACAAACCCCCAAGTACTATCAGTTATGCCTCAAAAAGCATAAAAAACGTAAAACTCCAGGAGCGATAGCACAGTGGTAGGGTGTTTGCCTTGCACGCAGCCAACATGGCCAACCCAAGTTCGATTCCTCTGCCCCTCTCGGAGAGCCCCGCAAGCTACTGAGAGTATCTCGCCCGCACGGCAGAGCCTGGCAAGCTATCCGTGATGTATTCGATATGCCAAACACAGTAACAACAAAGTCTCCAATGGAGACGTTACTGGGCCCGCTCGAGCAAATCGATGAACAACGGAAGGACCGTGACCTTGACCTAATTCTCTTCCAAAAATTAAGACCTTTAGATCTACCTGCCAATTTATGGGAAGTGCATGGAATAGCAAAACTCGTTAAGTAACTATAAAGATATGTAATCAGTACAAAGTTGATTGTGGAAAACACAGGACAAGTTACATCTTTCCTCACAAAATCTATGCAGGAAAAATTAGGAGAATGATTTGAAATACCTTTCATAATAGATCATATATATAGATAAATAAGTAAATATATGCATACACATGTCTGTTGTTCAGTTAAGGAAATTTGAACATTAAATACTTGATTTTTTAAATTATGGAAGTTATAAGGGCTGGAGCGATAGCACAGCGGTAGGGCGTTCGCCTTACAAGCGGCCAACATGGCCTACCCGAGTTCGATTCCTCCGCCCCTCTCGGAGAGCCCGGCAAGCTACTGAGAGTATTCGATATGCCAGACACAGTAACAACAAAGTCTCCAATGGAGACGTTACTGGGCCTGCTCGAGCAAATCGACGATCAACGGGAGGGCCTTTACTTTACTTAGAATGATAAAGAAATTGAAAATGGGTATACCTTAGATATATACTAAAATATTTTAAATGAAATATATAATATTTGGAATAATTTCAAAATAGTCCAAAGGGAAAGAGATGGTAGAACAAGTGAAGACAAGATTCAATGAGATACTGCTCTTGGATCTTTATTGTAACATGTGGTTTCATTATCATATTTTCTGCATTGTTTTATAAATATTTTATTTAAGAAAATACTTCTCCATTGTTTTATATATATCATAAAAAACTAAGATAGCAAAATCATCAAACCATTTTTAGAAGGTTCACTTCCAGCCAAAGTAAAAGGAACATATTTATCTCATAATCCTAAAGAAACAAAATCATAAATATATATGTACAAAATATATGAAACTATGGTTGTGAGCCTGGTGTCGGACAGCTGATGGTTTGTAGGTAAACAGAAGCTAAGCGTCCTCACCGAGGTGCCCCAATATTGCTGTCAGATCGTCTGAAAAGCTGAAGTCAACATTCTGGAAACCACGATGCCTTTAACACTCTAAGGGAAACCCAGCCAGGAACATGCGAAAAGGGGCTCAGTGCGCTTTGCAGCCCCCCAACCGGCCACTTGTCCTTGCCCATCCACTCTTGGCAGCTCTGCAGAGGCCCTCACTCGCTTCTGCAGCCCTGTTCAGAACGCTCTGCCTTTGCAGCCGCCCCCACGAAGCTGGGCAATCCCATGTGGCAGCCTTGTCCTACTCCCTGGAAACAGAAACCACCAACAAGGAGCTAGTGACCTGTGTGTGTGTGCGTGCGCTCACGCGCGCACTCCCCACAGGCGCTGCCTCTTTGTGTGTGTGTGTGTGTGTGTGCACTCCCCACAGAGCTGTGTGTGTGTGTGTACTCCCCACAGGAGCTGTGTGTGCGTGTGTGTGCACTCCCCACAGGAGCTGAGAGTGCACGCGTGCACTTTTCATAGGAGCCGTGTGTGTGTGTGTGTGTGTGTGTGTCCACTTCCCATTAGAGCTGCTTGTGTGTGTGTGCATCCACTCCCAGAATGGGGTGCCAAGCCAAGCGCCACTGACCAGATGATGAAGGGGTGCTGGCTCAGGAATGTAACCCACCTCAACTTGGTTACTGATGAAGTCCTAAATGGCTAAAGTGAAAAACTGAGGGTGATAGGTTAGGGATGTATGCAACCTCAAATTGGTTATTGATGTAGCTACTGACAATATAGAGCAGATGGACTGGTATTTTTTCTTCAAATAGTAGCTAAACTGAGTTTAAGTATTTTAGCTTACATCATTTTTATACTAACATATATCGATTCCTATTTTGTAAACAGTTTCAAAGCCAATTTGTTTTTTATTTTGAGGAACAAAATAAATTCTGATCTTCTCTGTGCCTAGGACGCAGGGTTGAAGGTACTTGCCTTGCCTGTGGCCAGCCCCAGTTTAATCCCTGAGCACCTGTGTGTGGGGTCCAAACATCCCTCCTGTCCGTCCTACAAATCCTTCTCTGTCCCATCTTGTTCTGTTCGTAATTTGCTTTTCTTGACATTTCACTGTGGGTCCATGCATTAAACTTTTGCCACATGAAAACACAATATTTCCAAGGATTATGTGATAAACTATTTTGTGTGTTCTAACAAGATTTGTATGCAGTCTACAAAATTTGAGGTTTAGGCTTGCTTGAGGCTTGCTAAAATTTTACTCTGTCTATATAAAGAAGTAGAATCAGGGTGCTTTAGATTGTTAGGGTTTTCAGATCCGTATCAAGGGGTCAGGTGGCATCTTTTTGTTCTGTTTTTGGACCACACCCAGCCATGCTTGGGGCTTACTCCTGGCTCTGTGCTCTCAGGGGTCACTCCTAGCAATGTTCAGGGGAGCATATGAGATGCCAAGGATGGAACCTGGGTCAGTTGCGTGCAAGGCAAGCACCCTACCCACTGTCCTGTCACTCCAGCTCCATCTTTTTGATGCCGTGAGTGATTTGTCCTGTGTTCAGGGAGACTGCTTGAGTTAGTCCCCCAAGAGTGCACACGGGGGCTTGATTCCCACCCGGACCTGTCTGTGGCTTTCAGCCTGCAAGTCAGGCTGCTCCCCGCAGCCCCAGATGTGTTTCCCGCACAATAAATGAGGGCGATCATCTTTTCTGGGGTGAGTTGTGTGAGTTCTCTAAATATTTAGTCCTTTTTGTCACAGTATTATAAGGATCTGAGGTGATTGCACCAAGGAGAGTATGTCAGTACAAAGGCAGATACAGAAAAGATTTTTTTGGGGGCTAGAGCAATAGCACAGAGGGTAAGGTGTTTGCCTTGCACGTGGCCGACCTGGGTTCAATTCCTTTGCCCCTCTCGGAAAGCCCGGCAAGCTACCGAGAGTATATCGCCCGCACAGCAAAGCTTGGCAAGCTCCCATGATGTATTCGATATGCCAAAAACAGTAACAACAAGTCTCACAATTTGTTGTGAGACGTTACTGGTGCTCGACAGAGCAAATCAATGAACAAGGGGAGGCAGTGCTACATGATTTTGAGACACTGAACCTAAGTAACAAAATGCAGAAAAAACAAATGAAAGTACTCTCTAATAGCCAAGTCATATTTTTCTAATTGAGCAGATGATCAATGTTTCTTTATGTATGTTTATCTCAGATGTAGTTTAGTTTTCTCCCTCTCTCTCTCACTCTCTCTTGTAAATAACTTAAGACTTATGGAAAAAAACTTATAGAAAAATTTCAAGTATTTTTTAACAACTGATTTTTCCTCCTGGGCTAGAGCGATAGCACAGCGGTAGGGCGTTTGCCTTGCACGCAGCCAACATGGCCCACCCGAGTTCGATTCCTCTGCCCCTCTCGGAGAGCCCGGCAAGCTACCCAGAGTATTTGATATGCCAAACACAGTAACAACAAAGTCTCTAATGGAGACATTACTGGGCCCGCCCGAACAAATTGATGATCAACGGGAGGGCCTTTACTTTACTTTACTTTACTTTACTTTACTTTACTTTACTTTACTTTACGATTTTTCCTGAGTAGTGTGATAGTATTTTTCCATGGAAACTTGACCTCCATCTACTTTAGTACCCATGTCTTAAAGACAAAAACATTATCCTAAATAAATTCCAGTGTGACAGTCAATATCAGAAAGTTCATACTGTCAATTAATACCAACTACTGCTTAGATTCCATTTGAAATTTGCCATTTGTCCCTCCAAGATATTTATTAGAAAGGATCCAGGATCTCACAAAGCTTTCATTGTCTTCTGTCTTTTCTTGACTTTTGTGACCTTTCAACCTTTTCATCTCTGGTTGTTTTGTAGAACGAATGTCACTTAATTTGGTTTACCTGATGTTCCTTTGTAGTTAAATTCAGGACCTGCAATTTGGGCAGGAATATCAGAGAAGTGATACTGTGTCCTCACCACTTCCTCTCAGGTGGTATATAATTTAAATTTGTCCTATTACTGGTGACATTAACTGGGTTTACTTAATTAAATGGTTTCTGCCAGGTTTCTTAATTGTAAATTTGCTCTTTCCCCTTCGTAATTAGTAGTTATTTTGTGGAGAGATACTTTCAGACTACATAAATAAGCCATCCTCATCAAACTTTTAGCCATTAATTTTAGTACTCATTAATATTTTGTGGCTAAATTAATGATTACTTTGATAAAATGATTTTCTAATTTTATCCTTCCTCCTACATTAATTAATTGTCATTTTATGGTGGAGAAAAGTTATATTTTTCTCCATTTATTTATAAATTACTTATGTCTTTATGGATTTATGAATCTTGTTTCATCTGATGAGTGAGTGTCTGTTCATTGTTTATTTACTTTGTGGCTCAAACTTTTATAGGTTTAGATAACCTGAGGTTTTTTTGGGGGGGGGTCACAACCAGCAATGCTCAGGGGTTACTCCTGGCTGTGCACTCAGAAATTACTCCTGGCGGTGCTCAGGGGACCTGGGATGCTGGAAATCGAATCCGGGTCTGCCACATGCAAGGCAAATGCACTACCCACTGTTGCTATCACTCCAGACCCCCCCTGAATTTTTTTTAAGTGTTTCTTTTCTTTTTTAAAACAAATTGAATTACCATTAGATATACCACTATGGAGTGATAGCATAGTGGTAGGGTGTTTGCCTTGCACACAGCTGGCCTGGCTGAGCCGGGTTCGATCCTCCGCCCCTCTCGGAGAGCCCAGCAAGCTACCTAGAGTATCTCGCCCGCAAAGCCTGGCAAGCTACCTGTGACGTATTCAATATGCCAAACACAGTAACAACAAGTTTCACGATGGAGACATTACTGGGCCTGCTCGAGCAAGAATCGATGAACAACAGGAGGACAGTGACAGTGATACAATTACAAAGTTATTAATGATCAAGTTTCAGTCATAGACCAATATCTTAAGTTTCTTCCAGGTCCCCCACTGCCATCCCCCACCTCTGACCCTCCCTCCTCGCCTGCCTCTATGGCAGGCAATTTTCTTCTTGTTCATTCCACCCCTTCCTCCCCCACAAGCGTTTTTTCCTTTTAGGCACTGTGATTTGCAATACTATTACTGAAAGGGTACCATGCCTATCACGTTCAGCACCTAGTTCTTGTCCAGAGTAATCATTTCCAACTTTATTGTCATAGTGGTTCCTTCTCTGTCTAACTGCAGTCTTGTCTTTGGGTATTATTCTCATACTATGTTTTTTCTATGTCCTATAAATGAGTGTGATCTTTATGTCTCTGTCCCTCTACCACTGACTCCTTTCACTCAGGATGATACTCTCCATGTCCATCCACGATTAAGCAAGTTTCATGACTTCATTTTTTCCTAAAGGGACAGCCAGAGTTCTTTAATTGGTTTAGAATTCTCTCTGCATCACTACTTAAACACTTATGACACAAGATGCTTTAGTTCATATATTTTTTTTGACCTAATCTTGGAATCAGACATTTATTTGAAGAACTCTGATTTATTTGGGGAAGGAAATGAAATTTAGAAACCAAAATTGGGATACTGGGTCTACACATTATTATTTATTTCCACCATCCCCAAGTCCTCTTAAAGGATAGAATTAGGTTATACATGTATAAAATATCAGAAAAAAAAATTTATATATATACAAACACACATATTTACTTATGTAACATGTTGTTTATTATTTCTCTCTCTTGGAAAAACCACAGATTTATAGTCTTGAACTCATTCTAGTTTTATTTTAGTCTATATAACTTTCTTCTTTGGGGCTAAATGAGAAAGGGAAATCAGAAAAAAAACAGAAGTTGGGCACACAGGAAGAAATTGCCATTTCTTTGTTCCTTTAGGGGGAGCACACTTCTAGTGTTCAGGGGCTACTCCTAGTTCTGTCCGTGTGGGAAGAGACTCTCTTAGCAGTGCTCAGGAGACCAGGTAGTGCTAGGGATTAAATCAGTGACTTTGGTATGGAAACCAGGTGCTGTATCCCATTATATATCTCTCCAACTCTCAGTTCTCTTACTATGAGTAACAGTTAGACTTTAAAAACAGTCTAACAAGTCACTTGCTAAAAAATTTTATGCCATCTTCACATTGACTCATGAAATATTTCTTGATATCTCGGGAAATGTTACAATAGTTATTTGCTACATGTCTCTCTCTTGAAAAAAATTATTGCTGTTTTGTCCATAAGTTTCAAAAATATTTCCTGAGTCTGTTGGAATACCTCACTTATTAGGTGGTTTTTTTCTTTGCTTGTTCTTTTGTTTCCCCAAAGTTTTAATTTTATATAATCCAAGTTTACTTATATTTTTTCTTGTTCTCAGGTTTCAACTCAATGTGGAAGGACACCGTAGTTCAAAACAAAACAAAATGCTTGACTTGCATTTTCATTGCTTTCCAATTTAGGGAGCAGTTGGATTGTGTTTTTGTGAGGGGAAAAGGCTGACCTGACTCTGTCTCCTCACACTTTCAGCTGGAGTTCAGGAGCTGGAATCACGCTTCCTGGTGCCTGGAGATCTATTAATTCTGACAGGGAACAAAGTACAGATGCCATGTGATGCCATTCTGATGGATGGCAGCTGCGTGGTGAATGAGGGCATGCTGACAGGTAGGGCTCTATCTCCGAGCATACAGCCTCTCTAAGTCCTGCCAAGTTTTTCCTCCACCCAAATGACAGTGGCATGGCCGGGGGCTGCTTAGGGCCCTTCCATTTCCAAGGAGTCTCAGCTGTCCTTCCTGGATGGTTCTAAGAATTCAAATGAAAGCAGATTTTTAAAAAAAAATTTTATTAATGAGACACTATGAAGTACAGTTGTAGACTTACAAATTTTGTACTTGGGTTTCAATTATACAATGATCAAATACCCATCCCTCCACCAGTACCCATTTCCCACCACCACGGATCCCAGTATCCCTCCCACCCCCCATCCCCCATCCCACCCTGCCTCTGTGGCAGAGCATTCCCCTTTGTTCTCTATCTGCTGTTATATATAGTCCTCACTTCTGACTGCCTAGCACTCCCTTCTCCAATAAAGGATGATTGTCACTCTGCCATTTCATCTATAAAGACTGTAGAGAGCATTGAATGTTTCAGAATTGTCAGTGACTTGTATACTTAGCACAAGTATGTACACAAGATTTTTAGTTTTTTTTTAATTCATCTTCTGATAAACTGGGGGATTTGAAAATGATTAGTGACGTCTTGAAACACAGAGGTTCTAGTTCAGGATCTTTCTACCTTAGCTCGACATGTTGATAACCATGAGGCAGGGTTTGGCAAATCTGCTACATCCAAGTGCTAATCCTGGGTAATTGGGACTATTCAATTTTTAAGTAGCATGAAGAAACTTACAGGCCATTGCCTCTCAAATAGGCAAACTGAGGTTCAGAGATGAGGAATGATTGCTCAAGCTTGCAGTCATTTGCAGTCTGACCTGCATAAGAATTTTTTTGAGTACCAACATTTCTGTAAGACAAAGAGGGAGTAGGATGCTGTGAAAACACATTGTATTGTGGTTCCCATTAAAGTCCAAATCAAATTCCTTTTTCCAGGTAGACTCGAGAGACTTGAAATGGAGACAGGAATGAGGAGCTCCTTTCTAGTGAACTTAAAAAATACAGCATGGCAGATCAGCATCCTCTTTCCAAGAAATCCGTAAATCACACACTCAAAATCCCTTTACACCGGGGATTTTGAAAAACTGAGTGCCGGTTATTAAAGTGAAAGTAGTCCGTATTCAGGAACATCTCTCTGAATTTACAGTGCCTACTCTACAAAGGCCAGTTAAGACTTTATTCCTTAGAATTTCAGTGTATAGATGTTTCTCAGCTTCCTTTACCATTTGTTTTGTCACTTAAAACATGCTACAATCTGGAACTGGAGCAGTAGTACAGCAGGTAGCATGTTTACCTTGCATGCGGCCCACCTGGGTTTGATCCCTAGCATCCCATATGGTCCTCCTAGCACTGCCAGGAGTAATTCCTGAGCATAGAGTCAGGATCACCAGGTATGGCCCAAAAAGAAAAAACAATACTACACTCTGCCTTTCTCATTGCACTGGCCAAAAAATTTCCTATGTTTCACCTGCCAAATGGCTTCTGTAACTTTTGTCAGTTTATTGACTTATCGCTGCATTTTACTATTCTGACCACTTCTTGATTTAGTTTCAAGACAAAGTTATGTCTCTAAATTAAACTACTGACCACTCTGTCCGGTTCCCTGTATCGAGATTCTTTCTCTTTCTTCCAGATTATAGGTGCTACTTGGGGCTACCTCTTGGCTTTTGCTCTTTTCACGCTATAGTTATTCTCTGAGCGATCTTGTCATTTTGTCTCTTGATCTAATCTGATCAGCTCTCCTGAACTCCGGACTTATATAAATAACTAAATGCCTAGAAGGCAGCTCATAACAGTCATTTCCCAAGCCAATTCAATTCTTGGTGATAAAAACACAATTCTTCCTTTCTCTGTGCTCTCTGTTGGTTCATGACCCTCTCCTTCTCCTTCTCCAAGTCCAAAGCCAGGAAGCCATCTTCAATTCCTCTGTTCCATGACCTGCTAATGTAACCATCTCCCCACATTTATAGTCTCTTATTTCCTCATTTTTTGAGCCCAGCACTTCCTTTCAACTCCCACCACCAGCTGCCACAGTTCAGACCTCTTCTTCTTCAACCAGGACTCATGATTGTTGCCCAATTGCTTGTCTAGATGTCAACTTCTCTAGACTACTATTCATTCCTGCAGATCTATGCACTTTCCTGCACATAAGCTTGATAGTTTTCCTGATTCAGAGCTAAGTCTTTCCCCCATGCTCCTCTTGTCACCAGTGCCCATAGATAAGCACTGATACACCTGAATTTGTTCACAGAGGGCCCTGGGAGCTTTGGCTCCTACATAACTCTCATGGTTCTTTATTTCTGACAGCATACATTCTATACTGCACGACTTGCGTGCCCAGATGGTGATTTCCAATCCCTTAGCACTCCTATTTGATTTTACAATGTCCTTAGTGTTTATAATATGGCATAACACTTATTTACTGACATGTCTGTCTCCATTGGACCACAAACCTCTTCAAAACAAAAGCTATGCTGTTCTCTGGATCCCCAATACCCCAGGGGGCTGTCAGTCCATGAGAACCTCACAGATGATAAGCAATTTTCAATGATGAAAATTTTCAATGGTGAAGCATACTACTTCACTTCACAAAATGAGATACTTATTTTCTGTAGGAGAAAGCATTCCCGTCACTAAAACCCCATTACCCAAGACGGATTGCTCAGCATCGTGGAAGACCCAGAGTGAAGTGGATTATAAACGTCATGTCCTCTTCTGTGGAACGGAAGTGATCCAGGCCAAGGGGGCTTATTCTGGGACTGTGAGTGCTGTGGTCCTACAGACTGGTTAGTTGGCATCTCTCCTACTTTTAATTGTTTTTGTGTTTGGGGCCATACCTGGCAATGCTTAGGGATTACTCCTGGCTTTGCACTTAGGAATCACTCTTGGGGGCTCGGAAACCATATGGGATGCTGAAACAAACCCAGGCTGACTGTGTATAAGACAAGTGCCTATACCCCTGTACTATCTCTCCATACTTGGCACCTTCTTATGCTTAACACAATCCTTCTATTTTGTTTTTTCAATGATTTACACTTTTTAGGTAGAGACAGCCTTTAGATAGCGCAATAAAGGTCTGTACTCTACATGTTAATTAAACTCTAATATGCCTTTTAACAGGAAAAATACTGATAACAATAATTACTATTTATATACTCTGCATTTTATATACAATTTTCAAATATAAAACCAGCAGATCAGAAATATGTATTGTCTTCACTCTGTACATGAATAGGTGAAGGCCACATAATTCCAGTAATCTGAAAAATTACAGTCAGTGCTGGAGAGGAAAGAGTGAGAGAGAGAGACAGAGAGAGACAGAGAGAGACAGAGAAAGACAGAGACAGAGAGACAGAGAAACAGAGACAAAGAGAGAAAGAGAAAGGAGAGAGAGAGAGAGAAAGAGAGAGAGAGCATCTGGAGTTCACATTTTTCAAGTGAGAGGCCTGAGTTCCATTCCTGATAACGCATGGTATGTCATGCATTGCAGGGAGCAGCCCTCAAACACAGGTTATTCTTGAGCACCACCAGATGTAGCCATTCAAAAACCAAATATAAATCACGGTCAACTTTTGGCAGAACTCAACCCAAGACACAGGCCTTTTAACTCCAAATCCCAAGTATTTGCAGTTAGGACCAGAAACAGAAAACTTGACACCAGAACTATCAGATACACAATTCTTCTGTTACTGGACCATTCAACATACATAATAAACAAATTTCTTATGCAGGGTTCTCTCTCTCTCTCTCTCTCTCTCTCTCTCTCTCTTTCTCTCAGTGTGTGTGTGTGTGTATAATACTCTGAATGAAGCTATATTTGGAAAGACTGCTCTTTGCTCTCAGCAGGGGTTTTTCTATCTTTAGGATGCATTGAAATTAAAAGAAGAGAGAAAGTAGACCAAGAAAGTATTAGGCTCTGAAATAGGTATGGTTTTCTTTTCTAGCATACTTATACATTTTTCCCATTATCCTTTAATTGCATTTGGGTTTGAACATTGCTTAAGTCTCTCTAGAGAAAAGCAAAGGGCATGTTGAGGTTTAGAAGAACACCAGCACTAGAATTCAACATCCTGACAGTGTGTGATGTGTATTTGCTACTTCAGGATTCAACACTGCAAAGGGAGACCTTGTGAGATCCATTCTCTATCCCAAGCCTGTGAATTTTAAGCTCTACAGGGATGCCATCAGATTTCTCCTGTGCCTTGTGGGGACAGCCACCATTGGGATGATCTACACTTTGTGTGTCTATGTGCTGAGCGGGGTAAGCTGTTTTTGTTCTTTGAATATTGTTCATAAACAGACATAGGTCTATTTAAATGTACAGATACAATAACACACATGTTGATATTAACCTAGCAGCACTTCTTAACCTTGTGACCCCATGTTGTGTGTCTCATGCAACATGGGTGAGCACTGCCAGAAACACCTTCAATTCATTACCCTTATGATTTTTAATTAATTTTTTGTAGCCTCATGCTCAGAAACCCTTTACTGTTGCCGTATTTTCATGACCCTCACATTTAGCTATCCCTGTTGGGGTTGTTACCCACAGGTAGTTTCCCCAAATGGGTGATCCTGCCTCCAGTAGGCAGTTGAACGAACTTGGGGGCTGGTAGCCTCACATGCAATGTGGAAGAGGATAATTTCTTTTTGTTTCTTTAAAGAATATAGATTTCCAGGGGAACACTGAATGATTTTTGTTTCTTGGTTTTGTTTGTTTCGGGATGATGCCCAGCAGTAGTCAGTAGTTACTCCTGGCTCTGTTCTGAGGAATTACTCCAGGTGGGCTCTGGGGATCATATGGAGTGCCAGGGATAGAACCCTGAGCTGGCTGCATGCAATGCAAGCACCCTACCTGCTGTACTATCGCTCTGGCATCTGAGTGATTGCATTTCAGGAAAGGGATGTTAGGCCAAACAATTTTGGGATCCTCTGATCTAAAAATATGGTTTACAACCTGGAAAATAAAGTCAAGCACTAAAATTCTTTATATACTCCCTCGTTTGGAATCAAGGCAATTGGTCACCATGCTCCATAGCAAGGGTCAAAGTAATGGGATAAACACCTTGTTTATTAAAACATTTTTATTCTAGCACAGTCTTTTTACCTTATAATTTTTATTTTCAATCTCTGCTTATTCATTTCTAGAATGTATTATTTCCTAGCTATTAAAGGAGGAATAGAAAATGAAGCTAAGATACCCGTGGAGGTAAGGGCATTGCAAATTGGTACATTGCTCTTCACGGTGGCATTCTTCACGGTGGCAATACAAGACTTTTTATTGTACTTTGGTTAAAATATGTTGAGAGCCACGAACCATCTCATGCCCTTTGGTCCACTCATTCTTTCTAGGGCACAAAGGCATTTGCTAGCGATGTCTGTGTAATAGTTAAAGTGTGACTGAATCTTCCAGGAACCTCCTGAAGAGGTGGTGAAGAAAGCTCTGGATGTCATCACAATTGCAGTTCCTCCTGCTCTGCCTGCAGCTCTCACCACGGGGATTATCTATGCTCAGCGGAGACTGAGAAAGAAAGGAATCTTCTGCATCAGCCCCCAAAGGATCAATGTTTGTGGACAGTTAAACCTTGTCTGCTTTGACAAGGTTTGTGTGCTTCATCCTCATCCTCATCGCTATGTGTCACCCTCACATCACACATAGGTGCTTTGCACTAGTGCAGCTCAGGATATAGAAGAGGGCACTTGATTTCATTTTATCCATGGTTGAGTGTGTGATCGAGGGAAGCTAGGCCTCTTGAGCTCGTGGATTCTGGAGGGGTAGAGGAGAGAAGGAGGAAATGAATAGGGTACGGTGCTTGCCTTGCATGTGGCTGACCTGGGTTTGATCCCTTGCTCTCCCTATGGTCCCTTGATCGCCCCAAGGCATGATCCCTGAATGCAAAGTTAGGATTAAGCCCTGAGCACTGCAGGGTGTTCCGCTCCCAAAAAAATAGTTATCCTTGAGCATGTGCCATCCTCCTAACCAGACTGTCACTACATTTCATTGCGTACATTCTTTCAGCGTGGGCACTGCATGAGTTAGATGTAAGCTTGAACTTGTTAAAAGGTAAGACGGAATTGTTTGGGCCCAAGTCTTTACCTACAAAGGAGACGGAGTGATTATAGAGGGGTCAATGTTACTGAATGAAAAGCTCCATGTTATTTGCAGTTTCCTTAGGGAAAAGGGGGCGCTGTGCCATGGAATTCTGGGTAGAATGCTACCTTTTGCTTAAGAAACAAAGGGGGAGAAAGAAGGGACTTAGACCATGGATTTTATTGGTCCTTTTCCAGGATGCAAGGCAAGAGAGGGAAAGAGTTTGAGTGATTTCAGTATTTCAGTGAGCTTTGGACTGATAGAATGGACACTAGTTATCCATAAATGACCCTGTACCTCAGTTCAAGATTTTTATCTGTATTTTGCTCTGAGAAAAATAGCAACAAGCATCTTTTAGCACCAAAGGTATCAAATAAGAAAGAATTTCTTTATTGGTTCTACTCCCATTCCTTATTTCTACTGGCATTCCTAATTTCTGATGGAATTCTATTAACCATAAACTGGAACTTGCCAATTTTATGGCTTTTGAAGGATGACCAATGACTTTCTTATCCATTCATTCTGTTTAAGCCTCAAAAAAGACTTTGAAATATGTAAGGCGGGAACATTTTTTCCTTCTATGACCTAGAATACAAAAATTCAAAAAGATTAGAAGCCTCCAGTTGTCACGCCACTGTTTGAGCTCATCAGAGTTCCCTTCCAGTCCTTCAGACCCTATTTTGTTCCTCCTTGAAGTGTTATTCAATATTGTCTGGGACCCAAGTAACCCTGTTAAAATCTCTCTTAGTGAATGGATCTTCACTATGGGACTGCCAGGGCACCAGAGTAAAACCAGTGCTTGTTTCTGTTTAGACAGGAACCCTAACAAGCGATGGCTTAGATCTATGGGGATTCGTGCCTTGCAATAGGAACGGGTGAGTACTTCATTGCAATTTCTCTAGTACCAGAAACTCTGCCTTTTTTTTTCTTACTTTTTGGGTTACACCCGGCGATGTATCTGGCTCTTCAATCAGGAATTACTCCTGGCGGTGCTCAGGGAACCATATGGGATCGAATCCAGGTCAGCCTTGTGCAAAGGAAATGTCCTACCTGCTGTGCTATGTCTCTAGCGTGAAACTCTGCATTTGAAAACTAATCCTGGACACGTGTTGACGTTGATAAGCATTGATTGCTGGGGTATTTTCACTTAATGTTCTCTCTTATATTCATAGTCATGGTCCTCCTGTTATTCGTCGATTTGCTCGAGCGGGCCCAGTAACATCTCCATTGGAGACTTTGTTGTTACTGTGCTTGGCATATCGAATACGTCACGGGGAGTTTGCCAGGCTCTGCCGTGTGGGCAAGATACTCTCAGTAGCTTGCCGGGCACTCGGAGAGTGGTGGAGGAATCGAACCCGGCTTGGCCAGGCCGGCTGCGTGCAAGACAAATGCCCTACCACTGTGCTATCACTCTTATAAGTCTCACTAAAGCATGAACATCTTTCCTCCTATCAATCCTTGCCCTCCTGTGGCCGTTATCACAAAACCAAGAGATGTAGAGAAAGTTTTGAAACTGTAGTCAAATACTTGCTAACATGATTGCTTTTGCTATGTTAGCTGTGGACTTGAAGTTGTTCTGACACACTTAATTTAAATACCTACGCACTGTTCTTCACTATGCTTACCTTAAGTAAAGCTTTTCAGTTTCTGGAAGAGGAAATCTTTGGAACTGAAGCTAGTGTACTCCTGCTCCTTGGTATTCTAGTTCTGGGAACTCCACCTTTTGATTGTTGGAAGCTCCTCTTTCCTGTCCCGACACGTGGCCCTCTTGTGGCCATGTCTAAATGTGCTTCTCTACCTGTTTGGCTTCCCTGCAACTTCCAAGAAACATCAGAACTTGAGCCTACGATGCTCACAGTTTTTGAAAGATGAAAGTATTTCCCTCTCCCATTTAATCACACACCATCTTATATAGAAATGGGACTTTGTGGTTCTTCTGCGTGATATAGATTACTTTCATTTTAGCTGTAAAATATATTTGCATGCCTGAGCTTGCTACATTTTATATTAAAATGGTGCATATAAGCAAGTCTATTACTTGGGTTAAAAAATCATTATGGCGCTTTTAGAAGAAGACTTTCATGAGTGTTAAGTTCTCTCAGGTTCCTTTAATTTCCCCTTAAAGATATATTTAACTATACACCTTGTCTCCTTGTTCATTAGTATTTTCCAGTTTCAGATTCTACAGAAAGAGTATATACTTATTCAAATATATGAGTGTATTGAGATCATTATTTTTCTTATATTTGCTATGCTTAGCACTATACCAGAAGTACACAGTAGTACACAGTAGCAGCACAATAAATGTTTACTTAAAGTGAACTAAATATGTTCTGTATTTGAATACTCTTCTACTAAGTGAATTGACATATTACACATGACCTCCGTTACCTCCACTACCCGGCCATCACCACACTTCAGGACACTTTCCAGATGCTCGGGCTGAGACTCACGCATGAGTGAAGTCCCACAGAACAAGATAAGTGGAACTTTGAGACCTTGGACTCCAGGCTCAAGGAACCCGGGGACAGAGATCCTCTGCTTGCTCCCACCAACCACAGGTGACGAAGGGATTAAAACCAGGAGCCCCACCCTACCCTGCCCTGTCTGCTTCCACCAACTGCCTGCGACCCAAGGACTGGATTACGCACAGAAGACCCACCCTACCAGTACCAGATAAATACCTCACTGGCAGATCTACACTACCTCCACTACCTCCACTACCCAGCCACCGACACACTCCAGGATGCTTTCCGGACCAGGCAGCCACAAAGCGGCTGCACGACACTTCATAAGACACTTAATACCCATCTTCCAGAATTGCTGCACCATATTTGATAGGGTTCAAATATGGTTTGAACCATGGGAACACCTACAAGGGTGATTAGAGGCCACCTGAAAAGTCTCTATCGCTCTCGGAGAGCCTGGTAAGATACCGAGAGTATTCCGCCTGCATGGCAGAACCTGGCAAGCTATCTGTTGTATATTCAATATTCCAAAACCAGTAATTACAATGGGTCTCATTCCCCTGACACTGAAGGGGTCACCAATACGGCAGCGTTGAGAAGGATAAGGAAGGAGAGGCTGATGAAATCTCAAGGCCGAACTAGGCTGCCAAAACGAAGAAAGACAAAATGATTGTTTGTACTTTCTATGCACGTACGCTGGCATCAGATGCTTCCATCGAGGACCTGACGGTACAAGTGCGGAAGATCAAGTACGACATCATTGGTCTGACCAAGAAAAGAAGGCATCAATCACATCACGCCATTTTTGACACTGAAGAACTGTGACTCGGAACATGCGGTAAAAGAGGCATCATAGTCGTTGGTGTCCATGTCAACACAAACTTAGCCATGAGCATTGATTCATTCCAATGTCTAACAACCCAAATCGGATGATTACACTTGAATAGTGGTGCCTGGTGCCGTGTAATCCCATCAACGGCCAAGACTCAGAGACTATAAAAACCAGCTCCCGGAAGGGGCAGTCTCCTGCCCCTGCGCCTGGCTGTCCTCGCAGGGGCCCCTTGGAGGGGAGCGGGTTGAGCTTTCCTCCCCGCCCCAACCAGGGCTCCGGCAGCTGAAGACCTCCAGGGCCAGCCACCACCATGCTGAGACCACTCTCCGCACACCTGAAGGTACTGGCAGAGGAACAAAGGCAAGTGGGTCCCGGGGCTGAGATCTCCAAGACTACTCGGATTGGGGCTGAGCATCCTCCACCCAGATCCTCCGAATTCCAGTAGGCGGGGGTCACACCCACCAACTGGCCCCTTGGTGCTGTGTAATCCCATCAACGGCCAAGACTCAGAGACTATAAAACCCAGCTCCCAGAACCACGCGACATCTTATTATGACATCTTATTATCTCATTCCTACTTTGGACAAACTGGCAAGCTACCGAATGTAACCTGCTCACACAGCAGAGTCTGGCAAACTCCCCGTGGTGTACCCAATATGCCAAATACCAGTAACAATGATGGGTCTCATTCTCCTAAAGAGTCTTGAATATAGCACTTTCTTAAAAATCTCAGGGCTAGGATGAAGGAGACGTTACTGGGGCCTGCTCGAGGCAATAGACAAATAACAGGATGTTCGTGATTCGTGATTCGTGACACTTGAATAGATGTGGCTCACTACAGGCAGTTTCTATCTTTGTTGTTTACGCACCAACATCCAATTATGATGAAAGAGAAATTGAGAAGTTCTACATGGAGCTGGAGAAGTTCTATAAAGAAGACCATACCTTCTACAAGATCATTGTTGGTGATTTTAATGCCAAGATAGGACTGAGAAGATCAGCCGAAGAACTCCACATCAGGACCCATGGCCTAGAATGGAACGAACAGGGTGAGAGACTGTCTGAGTTCATCATGTCGACCAAGACCATCCATGGTAACTCAAAATTCCAGAAGGTCAAATCTAAACGTTGGACATGGGAGTTTTCCGGTGGATGGTTCCATAAAAAAATTGACCACATCATATTCAATTGACGGTTTTGCCTGACCGATGTCAGTGTTGTCCCAAAATTTCAAATGGGATCTGACCACCGTCTCCTTCATGCAAAATTCTACTTCACACAGTGGGGAGAAAAGGCTGCAAAGTTTAAGAAGAGAACTCCCAGAATGACCACCAACTAGGAGCTCTTTGCCACTATTGCTACAACATGGGAAGATGCCGTCGTTGACAACATTGACAAGGAATATGATCGACTGGTTCAGCACCTCTGTGACTGTGAGAGGAACGCCAAGAGAGAGATAACCACAAAAGAAAGCATGTCTTCAAAAACTCTCGAGCTTATTTGTCAACGTGGTTTGGCGCATGCCTCAAGCAACTGCAAGCAAATGTCCCAGCTCCCAAAGCAGTGCAGAGAAGCAATAAAGGAAGACCTCAAAGAGAGAAGAGCAGCAGTGCTGGTAGATGTGGCAGAAGCTGAGAAAAGCATTCGCAAAGCCCGCTTGTTCTTTGCCAACTACAAGACCAAGATGACTGCCCTCCTACATCCTGATGAATCTCTCACATCTTCCAGAAGGGCAATGGATAAGATTATTCATGACTTCTACTCATATCTCTTCGATAGCCATGTCCACCTGCCAACAAATCACATTTCGCAGGATGGATATGTCATTTCCAACATTCTCCCTTTCGAAATCTGACACACCATTTCGTCAATAAAGAAATGAATAGCACCTGACCCAGACAAGGTCAGACCAGAACACCTGAAGAACCTGCCATCAGTACTCATCAATACGCTGGCTCAGCTCTTCACACACTACCTGTCTGAATGCAAGGCTCCATCCCAATAGAAAACCAGCAGGACTACTACTGTACAAGAAGAAAGACATCCACAACATTGGCAACTATAGCCCAATCTGCCTATTGTCTGTCATCTACAAGCTGTTGACTCGAGTCATCCTGAAAAGGATTGGCAGAACACGAGATGAAGGACAACCATGTGAGCAAGCCAGGTTCCAAAAAGGATTCAGCACCATCGACCATATCCACACGATAACCAAGCTCATTGAGGTTTCTTGGGAGTTCAAGATGTCACTCTGTCTAACGTTCATTGATTTAAATAAGGCCTTTGATTCTGTTGAGACTAAGCGGTCATGGAAGCCGTAGCCAATCAGGGCATTCATACTCAATGCATCAGGATCCTCCGTGAGCTGTATTATGGATTCAATACCAGGATCTCACCATTCTACAAAGAAGTAATCATCGATGTCAAGAGAGGGGTTCAGTAGGGTGATACCATTTCACCAAAACTCTTCAGTGCCACCGTTGAGAGCGTCATGCAATGACTGGAATGGGAAGGAATGGGAGTGAAGATAGATGGTCGGCAATTACACCACCTCCACATTGCTGATGACATCGTT